GAGATGTTTCTCGAGCACATTCAGTATGTCCGAACAGATGTCGCGCAGCTCCTTCTCCACCTGGCCGCGGTAGGTTTTGATCATCTCCAGCTTCTCCTCGGCCCCCTTGTTCTCCTCCTTCTGTTCGATCGATGTGATGATGCGCCACGAAGCACGACGGGCTCCAATCACATTCTTGTATGCGACGGACAGCAAGTTACGCTCCTCGACAGTCAGCTCGACGTCCATGGAAGCGACCTTCTTCATGGCCTCGACCATTTCTAACAAAAGGAAGAAAGTAGCGGTTAAAAGTGTCATCTTTTTTTCATATTGATTATTATGCTGGGAAAATGCAAGGAGGATAGGAAACATAGCAGGCTAGCTATTCTACTCCAACACAACCGTCCCTCTGTCTGGCTTTGTCTTATCACGACACGCCCAATCCAATTATAATGACATATAAGTCATCGAGATATAGGCGTTTTGTTTATGCATCGCGACTGTTTTAGCTGCTTCTGTCATACCCCAAGACAGCCATAACCAGGTGATAACGGTTTCCTGCCGGCTCTACTCTCCCGGAATCACCATCATCATCACCATCCTCAAACCGTGCCATGAATCACGTGCCTGGAACTCCGGGAAAGACAGCTGCAAGCTGCTTTTGATTCCAGTGTTGATGTGAGTGTTGATAAAAAATAATAAAATCAGTGCTACAATATTGTAATTTTTCCGTTTTTTGTTGCTTTTGTCTCCGTTTGCCTGCTTGCATTTCAACGGAGTGTGCTCTCCCTCTCTCCCGCTATCCATAATCAGCTGCTGACGTATTTCGCCCCACATACACACGCACACATCGCGCACTCCCAAAGTCACTGAATAGGCAGACAGGCACGCCGCACACATACGCGCAGCGGGACATTTTGCTGTTGTTGTGTGGCACGTAGATGTGAAAATTGGAAATAAAGTTGGCATGGCTGCATGATTCATGCGTCCCGTCTGTGGTTGCTGTTGCTGTTTCTGTTGAACTTCAAAAACGGTTGTTGGCATTGGCACATTGTACATTCTACATGTGTATAGATGTGTACATTGCACTTTACAACACTGACAACGCCAAGGCTGTCACGGACAGAACGTGCAAATTGAACTTGAAATCGGAGGAAGGGCAGGGGAGGTGGCAGGCAGCGTACATTAGTAGATGGCGGGGGAAGTCCATCCATCTTCCTGCAGCACATGTTGCTTAGTCAGGCAGCCGCATCTACTACGAATTAAGAGACATGCGCGCGGGAGAATACAGCGTAGCGTATAAAACGAAAATCAATAAAGGCGGCCCAAAATATGAAATGACAAATCAAACGCAGCCCCAGCAAAAAAGAACGGGAAGAAAAACTAACCACATAAATCAAACCGCCACCCACAATCAACCCAAACACACATACACATGCATACAATCTACTCAACCCAC